GGCCATCCCTATATAGGGATCTGAACCGGTGGCCTTGGTGTTATCAGCACTGCACTCTCCCGAGTGAGCCATGGGCCGGCCCTAAAATTTTTTCTTCCTTTAAATGACTGGACCCAGGGTCCTTCCTAATATGGGCTACACATTTCTGCTTTATATAACTGTGGGCTTGTCTCGCTGGCTTCAAACCCCAGCTCTGCTACTTACTAGCTTTGTGGTCCTGCCAGTGTAACATCATGGTTTCTTACACTACTAATGAAGCTAATGCATACCATTTATGTGAGGTGCACCCCAGTTTCAGACATGGTAGAAATGGGAACCAGTGTGCATCTCAGAAAACCAATAAAGTAAATATGAAAATCTGATGTATAGGACTATGATGTGACTGGTAACCATGTGGTTGTGCAGTGTACAACCTGCACAACTGTACATGCCAGTCCTTGGAAGGAAGCTTTTGCAGAAAGCAGAGTAAAGGTTTTTGAGTTGCAAGAGTCTAGGCCCAGAGGGGACTTAGAGAATAAACTGTATTTGAGCAAGTGAGGGTCTAAATGCTGTGAGGAATGTCTATTCATTTAGAATAATAACAGGCGAACTTATCAAGGAGAAGAACCTATTGGATATTAAAATATTATAAATCTACAGTAATAAAAACAATGGAGTGTTGGCCAGAGAATAGAATAATCAATTGGAGTAGGACAGATGCCTGGGAAACAATCTAATTCAAAGAGAAATTTAGTGATAAAAGGTACAGCGATAAAATTGGGCTTTGCTTAGAAAAATAATTAGCACTTCACCCAGAGGGATGTCTCAGATACACAAATATCACATCACTGCTAAGAGCCCTGGTGCGATCAAGGTGGTTTTCAAACTGATGTCCCCCAGGAACCCGAGGGTTCCCTGCAAGTGTAAAAGAATTCTGGAGACAATGCACTTACAAGGCCTCCAGACATAAATTCTGTGGTGTTCTGAGAGGACTACGGGTGTAAATAAAGGAAGACCAGCCACACAGAACTGGGTTGGTCAGTTCAAGGTCTCCCTTCTCTGTTCAAGGTGGGTGGGACAAGTGCCCCCAACCTTGTTATTTTTGCCCAGTGAAGAGGATCCGTGTTCAATTTGGGAAATGCATCTTCCTGTTTATAAAGTTTGAAATGCATCTCCTTTATGCTGTGGAGGGCTGGGGTGGGTGGGCTTAAGGGAAGGGACACCTAAATAAATCAGAGCTTATCCTGGTATACTGGGTTGAACAGTGCTTCCCTTGAATTCATGCCACCCAGAACCTATGAATGGGACCTTATTTGGAAATAAGGTCTTAGCAGGTGTAATCAAGTTAAAGTGAACCTAAATCCAATATGACGGGTATCCTTTATAAGAGGGAAATTTGGAGCTGGTCGGTTAGCTCAGTTGGTTAGAGCATGGTGTTATAACACCAAAGTTGGGTTTGGATCCCCATACTGCCATACTGGCCATACTCCTTTCCCTCCCCCCAAAAGAGGGACATTTGGACACAGATACACAGAGGGGACATGGCCATGTGAAGATGGAGGCAGAGATTGGAGCTATGCATCTATAAAGAACGCTCAAGATTGTTGGCAACCATCCGAATTTAGGGAGAGGTAAGGAAAGATTCCTTCTTAGAGCTTCCAGAGAGAGCATGACCTTGCTGACACTTTGATTTTGGACCTGTGGCCTCCAGCGCTGTAGGCGAATTAGTTTCTATTGTGTTCAGCCATCCAGTTGGTGGTAATTTGTTACAGCAGCCTTAGCAAACTAATACACCTAGGATCATGATAAGCCAACAGATGGGTAGGATATTCAGGGACGTTTTGAGCCCATGTTTATAAGAAACAAAATCCAAATCAGAATCATCCCAACATAAGTGCATCTTTGGTCGGGAAAACCTTAATTCTGTTAAGCTAATTTAATTCCTTGATAAATTTTTTATATAGCACAGTTGAACCATTTCTACATTTTTTTGGTGACAGGCTGGTACAAGGATTGGACCCTGAACCTTGATGTTATCAGCAGCACAATCTAACCAATTGAGCTAACCGGCTAGCCCCTTGTTTCCATTTTTTAATTTTTATTTTACTAAAATTATTTTCATCAGGATCTGTTTTTATCCCTATGTAAATATTCAGTCTTTTTTTTTTGTCCTTGTAAAATTTTACCACCAAGCTTCTGCCATTGTAAATTTCATTATTCTGCCCAGTCCATCTTCCCCAAATTAAAATCTGCAGACTTTTTTGTCAAAATTTAATTTTACCTTATGTAGTCTTTGCCAGTACTAGTTTTTTGGGGGGATTTTTTGGGAGCTGGCCAGTATGGGGATCCAAACCCTTGACCTTGGTGTTATAACACTGCACTCCAACCAGCTGAGCCAGCCTGTCTATTTCAGAGTCACATTTTGCAATCTGCAAGTAACTACCCAAATGGGATTCTCTCTTTCTCTTTTGTTCTCGCCTTTTTCTTTTCCTCCCTCTCTCCTTTATTTTCTTCTCTGTTACAAATTAAATAGTCCCAGGTACAGTTTTAGCCATGAACAATTTTGGTCTGTGATAAGTTTCAGTAATAATATCTACTTTGAATGTGATTCCATACTGTTTTTATTTCTTGGAACAAAGTGCATCTGTGGGGAAAAGATCTAGGAGGTAGGAGCAGACAAATTTGGTAGGTGCTGACCTCCCAAAACAGACCGTTTTTGTAGCTACGAAATCTCTAGAGTCACCCTCCAACTGTGTGATATTTTTGGTTTGGTGAGAGAATAGTTACTCTTAAGTTACGGTAATATAAAGGGAAGCATCTCAACAATCTTCTGGATGACTTCATAAAGTCTCTCACGTGCTAATAGTGCAGGTGCTATGGTTATGCAGGTGACAGACACTCGGCTGGCCCTGATCCTGGCCTCCACCACTGCACATCTTTTCCAGGTATATCTGCTTGTCCCAAGCTGCGGGAACCTAGGGTTCAAGACAGGGTCTCCCCATTTGCTTTCCTGTCCTCTGTTAGAATTAGGCCATCACCAAGGTCAAGGCCAGCTGCTCCCTCAAAGTTTTACTGGCCAGCTGCAATCAATCAATCAATCAATCAATAAATAAAAATAAAGAAGCGGGCAAGCCCTTAGGGGATTCCCTGTCCTAGTTAGTTTTTTGGTTCTTGTTCTTGTTGCTTTGTTTTTTTCCCTGAAAGCAGAGACAGCACAAAGACAGTGGGCTCCCAGCCTTTTGATAAAAGACTAAGAGCAGACGAGACCGCCCCGGGGGGATTATTTATACAAGAGGATGTAGGCGGAGGTTTGTTTTTGATACATCAGGGCCTGAGGCAGGTCTTAAAATAAGAAAATTTCCACTTTGACATTAGTCTCAGGCCCAGGAGCTCAATGTGCTCATAAATGAAGGAATGAAGGAGGGAAAAAGGAAAGAAGGAAATGAAGATGGAAGAAAGAGGTGGGAGGAAGGAAGGGGGAAGGAAAAGGGAAGAAAAGACCCTTCTGGATAAGCTGTGGTCCCTCATCCCTTCCAGGGGACTTGTCCCCACAGGCGGCCACGTGTTCCTCCTCCTGCCTTCCTGGCCACCAAGAGCTGTCCGGCTGATGTAGTTTTTTCTGAGCACCTACTATGTGCCAGGCACTGAGCTTCCTGTTTTGTCTAATCCTTACCGCAGTCCTGCAGGGTGGCTCTCGCTTCCCACATGGGGAAACTGAGGCTCAGAGGGGTGAGGAAACCCAGCCAATGTCACAGGGTGGCCTGAAGGACCGGAGGTCACGCGGGTTGGTCTCTATCGCTCTGTCTTTCAATCTCTGTCTCTCTCATTTCTCTTTTTCTTTTTACTTTCTCTCTCTCCTCCCTCTGTCTGTTTCTCTTCCCCCCTCCGTCCACCTGTCTGTTTCTGTCTGTCTGTCTGTCTCTGTCCCTCTCTCCCCTCTCTCTCTGACTCTCTGTGTCTTTGTTTCTGTCTGTCTGTCACACACACACACTCACCGACTCCGGGTTCTTGACGAAGACCTTGGTGCTCCCCATCTGGTACTGGTCGGGCTCCATGTTGACCGCCCGAAGCAGGTGCTGGACCCCCTGACGTTCGTCCCCACGCCACCGTGGCCACGTCTCGGGGGTCAGAATGGCATACCTGGAGGCAGAGGGCCAGGGTGTGGGAGGGTTTGGCGCAGACAGGGCCGGCTGGTCATTCTGATGGGGGCGGTTAGGGCGCCTCACCTCTGCAAGAACTTGGGGAACTGGCGGCGGTAGGCGAAGCCTGCCCTGCGTACCCTGATGTTCTCCTTCAGGCCCAGGTATTCCACCTGGTGCTTGACCCTGTTGGGGAAAGCAGCCTGAGTCCCCTGCAGGGACGGGGTGCTGCTGGGAGGGGGTTGGAAAGGGCAGACCTGGGGCCTGGAGGATCTGGATTCATGCTGGGGCAAGTCAGTTTGGGGGTGATTTCTGAGGTCTTGGGGGGGCTTCAGGGGTCAGCTTGGGAATCAGTTCTGTGGGGTTGGGCCTTGGGGGAGGAGTCTATGTTTGTCCTGGTAGTCAGTTCTGGGGTCAGTTCTGGGGATAGGGTGTGAGGAATTGGGGGGACTGTGCTAATCCCTGGGTCATCCTGTGGGTCAGTGTGGGGTCATGCTGGGGGTTTGGGGATCTTGGTCAGTTCTAGGTGTAACTGTTGGACGCTGAGGGGTTTTGTGGTGGTTCCAGGAGTCAGCCTGGGTTAGTGCTGGGCTGGGTCCAGGAGCAGGGGGTCAGTCTGGGGTCACCTGCTCTCCTCCCAGTCTCGGGGCTTCTTGGTCTCATTGGGTTTGATGCAGCGGATGTAGTGGGGTGTGCATCTCTTCAGCGTGGCCACCAGGTCATTGGCTTGTTTCTGAGGTGGAGGAGAAGGTGGGGTTGAGGGGCGGGACATAGATGAGACCCTCTGGCTCCTCCCTTCTCCCCTCCCTGGATACAGAGACACACTGGGGGTGGGGGATGGGAGCTGGTTCCAGCTGAACCACAGGGCCAGGTGTCCTGGTCTGTGCACATGGACATTAGCACTCACCACGTGGGACTGATATTGTGTGTCTCCCCGACCCTTGTCCCCTAGACTAGGACCTCTCATGTCTGCCACGCTCATCGCTTAGCTTGGCACATAGTAAGTGCTCAGTAAATGTTCATTGACTGAGTAACAGAGCACTCAGGAGAACATGTTGCTCAGAACATTCCTGCCTGTTCTTCGCGGTGGATGGGTATTTTGGAAGTAGAGCATCACGTGTGTGCCTGAGAGGTCAGCCTTGGGATGTGCATTTTAGTTGCTCAGGGGAAAAGCGGGGGACCAGAAAGGAAATTTCTCCAGGTGGGAGGACTGAGGGGGAGGGGCAGCAGGAGAGCCCCAGGTGTGAACTGAGGCTCTGTGTGACCTGGGTGAATGACCATCCCTCTGTGAGCTTTGGTCTCTCCACCTGCCAGGTGGGGCTAAGCTAGTTCCTCATGTGTGCAGTGTCCTGTGTTTGCTGCCAGTACTGAGTAAGAGCTCAGTAAATGGTTATTAAAGTATTATTAGGATGGGACCCCATGTTCTTAGAGGCATTATGCACAACAGCCAAGAGGTGGAAACAACCCAAGTGTCCATTGACAAACACAGTGTGGTCCATCCGAACAGTGAAGTATTATTCATCCTTAAAAAGGAAGGAGATTCTGACACGTGCTGCAACGTGGATGAACCGTGAGGACACTGTGCTCAGTGAAATAAGCCAGTCATACAAGGACAAACGCTGTGTGATTCCACTCACAGGAGGTCCCTAGAGTCGTCAGGTCCACAGAGACAGAGAGTAGAATGGCAGGTGCCAGGGGCTGGGGAATGAGTGTTTCATGGGGACAGAGTTTCAGTTTGGGAAGACGAGAAAGTTCTGGAGATGATGGTGGCGATGGCTGCACAGCCATGTGAATGTGCTTAATGCCACCGAGCTGTGCACTAAACATGGTTCAGATGGTAAATTTTATGTTATATATGTTTTGCCATGATTTCAAAAAAAGTGGCAAATGACCAAAAGATCCAAAAAAAAAAAAAAAAAAAAAAAATTGACTAGGATGGTGGTTCACGTCTGGATTTAGGGAGTTGAAGGCCACACCAAGGAAACTGGTCCAAGCCCCCTAAACCAGATCTGTAGAAAGACCCCGCTGGACAGAGGATACCACAGACACAGGCAGAGGCCCTGGGCATGGAGGCGAGACAGACATTGGAATGAGGAGAGAAATGGAGTCAGGAGGCTGGGCAGGGTGGGACCCAGGCCCCCTTATGTCCAACTCCCCCTTGCCCATTTCTATGAGGTCCCTAGAGTAGTCGAATCCATAGAGACGGAAAGACCCCAGCCCCACCTTGATCTTGGAGCCGGCGGTGCTGGGGCGGCCCTTCTTGTCGATATCCAGCTTCTCGGGAAAGAGCATCCGGAGGAAGGCCCTGGGCAGGGGAGAGGGGGGGTTGGAGATGCAACTGGACCCCATGGCGCCCACCCCCAGAAGTGGGGCTGCCTCAGTGCCACGGTGCAAAGTATGATTCTCCCTGAATGTGGGGGCGCTGTGAAGGGTGAGATGGGAGGGCTGGTTTTGTCCTTTTCATTCCTCGATTTATATACACTTTTTACATCTTCCTCCATGATCGTGCATAACTTGGGTAACAAGTTAAATAGAATCAAGTTAAGTACTAAAATACATCAATTGATATAGCATTCCTTTTTTTTTTTATTTGTTGGTGGCTGGTCGGTACAGGGATCTGAACCCGTGGCCTTGGTATTACCAGCACCACACTCTCCCAAGTGAGCGAACTGGCCAGCCCTGTTGCAGCATTTAGGGTAACAGGGTAGGTCCCTTTATAGGAACTACCCTACATGTACGTGCTTGCCTGTGTGTGCAAAGAAATACATATAAAGATGCTTGCTGCGGTAGCCCTGTTTGGGCTAGCAAGGATGGGAAACAACCTAAGTGTCCATAGATGGGGGACTGGTGAAATGACTTTTGGTTCATTCACGGCTTCCTCCCACATCGGCTCAATAAGACTTTCTCTGAGCCCCCTAATAGAAAATGAGTGGACGGCTTAATGGAAATGGGATTTCCACTTGGCGTGATGAAGACCTTCTGAAACTAGATAGTAGTGACGGCTGCACAACACTGTGTGTAAATGTATTTGATGACACTGAACTGTACACTTTAAAATGGTTAAAAAGATAAATTTCATGCGATGTGTACTTTACCATAATTAAAAGAAATTTAAAAAGAAAGAATCAATGAATGCCTTCCTCGCTCTCTAGCCTTCTACCTATTTAGTTTTTCTATAAATTTTTCCCGGTGGTTCTCAGACTTAAGCAGGTGACAGAATCACCAGGAGAGCTTGTAAAACACACATTGCTGGGTCCCACCACTCGAGTTTCTCATGCACAGGTCTGGGCTGGGGTCTGATAATGTCTAACAAGTTCCCAGGTGATATTGACGCTGGTGGTCCAGAGACCCCACTTTGAGAACCACGCTCTAGTTCTGTGCCTTCCGATATGGTGGCCACTGGTCACATGTGACTACTGAAGCCTTAGAAATGTGGCCTGTCCCAAGTGAGAGGTGCTGGGAGTGTTCAAATTCACACTGAATTCCAAAAACTGTATAGTGGGGCTGGCCGGTTAGCTCACTTGGTTAGAGCATGGTGCTGGTAACACCAAAGTCAAGGGTTGAGATCCCCATAGCTGCCAGCTGCTAAAAAACCCCAAAACAAATAACCCCCCCCAACACACTATATAGTATGGAACAAGAGAATGTAAAACATTTCATCAATTTTTACATTGATTGAATATTCAAATGATAATATTTCGGGTTTGTGTAGTTAAATAAAACATTTAAAATTGTACCTGTTTTATCTGTTTGCTTTTTAAGTGTATGTACTAGAAAAATTTTAAACTACGCAGGTGGTGGTAAGGGGGATGGATTGCAAATTGTCACAAGAGATCTTTTTGGAGTGGTGCAAATGTCCTGAAGTTGGATTGTGGTGATGGCTGCACAATTCTATATATTTTAAAAAATCATTGAATTCTACACTTCTTAAAATGGATGAACTTAATGGTATGTAAATTATACTTCAATAAGGCTGTTTTAGGGACACAAAGAATAATTACAATTTGTAATGATGAACATGCTAATAATATTGATTTGATCGTCAAATACTGTACACAAATACTGATAGTCAACTCTGTACCCCATAAATATGTATCATCAAAAATAAATAAATTTAAATACTAAATAAATTAATAAAATAATGACATATGTACAGCACATAAAAGAAGACTTCTTACACCTTACACATACTCGTCTTAAACAGTGTGTAGAGTTTTTTTTTTTTTTTTTAAACACACTTTTGACTATCTTAAATTAAAAATATTGCATATTTTCATTTTGGTCTCTCTAGGCCAGATTTTTATATTCATTTTCAATAAATGTCTATATTATTTCGTTACAGAGTCCACGAGCTTAATACTGATGCTGACTTTATACAGCACCTTTCTAGTACCACACACACTATTTAGAAAACCTTTAAGCCTGAC